GAGAATAAATTGTAGGAGGACAAGGGTTGAAAGAGATAGACAAGTTAGGAAGCTAATCTATAGATCATTTTGACAGCTTGCACTCTGGTCTCATCCAAGTCCACCTAAATGTAATTTATTATCTCTACCACCTGTCTCCTTTCTTCCCATCCATATTATCCAATCCAGAAATCATTACCTACTATTTTCACTATTATAATACTAGACACTCTAGTTTGGGGGCTACAAGTTTGAAGAAGATAAGAGTAGAGCTTCGCATTCATGCCTTAAACAGTTCTATAGACAAAACTGAATAGAACAGAAAAATAAATAGTACATTGTTGAAATGAAAACTATGTGGCATAGTTGAAGGTTTGGGTACCCCACAGCAGCAAATAAAAACAAAAAATAATCATAAAATGCTTACTTGAAAATCTTTGAGAATTTCTGCATTAACGTACATTTATAGACATATAAGCCTAATCTTTTAGAATGTTTGATTTTTGACTTTGTTTCAAAGAAACAGGTGCAATTATATTATTTGTTCACTTTATTTTAATTCACAGACAACATACAGGAATTAATTTTTAAAATATACTAAAACCTAAATAGGCAACGGTATCAGCCAATATCAGGATATTTGACTTTTCTAATCAAAAAACAAAATTATATCTTCACAATCTTGAAACACACAATAATTTCATGTTCTTAAATATAATGCCATACTTCCAAATATAGCATAAAGGAGCTAAAGGCAAATGCTTAAAGCTGAGTATCTTCAATAGCTAAGAAAAGTAACGTAATAAAACATGGGATTTTATTCCTAGAAAGTATAATTGGATTTAGTGACTATCAAAAGCAATTATTATATTAACATTTACCTTTATTTGTAATAGTTCTAGAAATAAGACATGGAGCTGTGGCAATTTAAACAATTCACTTTTCTTAAAAAGACAGTCTGAATATTGTCAAAACTGACCTGTGAGTTCACTAGTTCTACAAAAATTGTGTTAATATTTACTTAACAGAAGGAGGAGAAAGTTCAAAGCAAGTAAGACAGTTACAAATTAACACCAACTATATGCAAAGCTACATAAATGATTTAATATAGCACTCTTATGCTACTGTATACTCAAGAAAATTAGAATGTAATTCAATTTTTAATATGTGGGTTTTTACAATTTATAATTATACAGACATGATCATTATTTGTCTGCTTAAAGAGTTTCCCATTGCTATTGATTTGCCTTTCTTTGAAAAGCAGGAGACTATAATAGTTCCTTTAGCTAGTGCATCTCAAATCTGTTACTAAGAGAAAAGAACCTTGAATAAGAAAAAAGCATGTCACTTCTTTCAAGCTTCATTTCTTCTATTTTATCAGGGGAAAAGAGGGCCTTATAAAAATTGACCAATGCAGTAGAGTTTGAATTTATATTCTCCTAAAATGGTAAACATAATAAATTGAGAACCAAACGCTCAATTTTATTTCATGCCAGTTGTAGCTAGACATAATTATAGCAGAAGAACTGACTTTACAGCAATTGTAAAAATGTAAATAAGGCTTTAAAACTGACTCAGGAATTATATTTTATAAATGAAGCTTTGATTTTAATGTAAAAAATTATCTTAGGGCATGATATGCATTATTCAAAATATCCTGCCTTTGTTACCATTGAAATGGTAGTTACACTTCAGAAAACCGAGGGACAGAAACACCTGTTTCTTATCAAATCATATCTCCTAGTGATTACAATAATTTTATGTACAAGATAGACTTTAAAATTTAAATACTGCAATATTTTAAAGTTTATATTTTTAGATAAAAGTTTATTTTTAAAATATCAGTGGAAAATGTGAAACAAAATGTAACGTGACAATTATCAATTTTAGTCCAAATATTCTTAATAGCAAAGTATCAAGTGTCTACATTTAAAATGTTTTTCATAACTTGTATTGATTTTTGTCCTAATGCAAACATTTAACTATTAAAATTTGGAAAATAACTAAATATTTTAAAAAGCAGTAAAAACTTTCAATAATTTGTTTTATTTTCTTCATTTTATTTTCTTTTTATTTCCTCGCCCATTTGGTGAGGTATTTGTCTATGTAAAATTAGGATAATACTAAATTCATTTTTATAAATTGCTTTTTTATTAGTTCCAAAGCTCATGAGATATTAAAGTACATTTTAATTGAAAAAAAAAATCAAATGGTTTTTAAATCGATGTTTTCTTTTAAAAGAATGAAGTCCATGCCAAGTTGAGTCATGAAGAGAAATGTCAGTGCGATCCCTGGCAGCTGCTCGCTTCCCTGGGAAGGAAGGGCTGGTTAGGAGTACAGTAGCTAGCAAACCCCTCAGCACTCCACAAAGTCACTAGTGGGAAAAGAACAAAGGCCTTTCCAATGCAACTAACACAGATGTGCCCAAAGGCAAACTGTCAGAAACAGTTAAGATGACAGCTACTCACAGTTCATTATTTCCTTCTCACAGGTCACTGGGTGACAAGCTGGGTCAGCATGCTTTGTTGGCTGTCCCAGTCCTTCTCCACCCCCTATTCCATTTAAATAAGAGTAAAGGACTCCTTTGGATAAACTAATGTAAACAAACACATTCCAGACACTTAATGCCAGAATATGGCATTTACTTTACTTTGGACCAAACTTAGAATTCAATGTACACACAACTTATTTTATCGAAGCAAGGATAGAAGCACACTTCTATGCCTACTTTTCAGTGATTATTTTAGACTGTGGGTGCGTGTGTGTGCGTGTGTGTGTGTTTTAAGAGGTAAAGAAACTGAAATTACATCTACTGTGGTAAATTGTGGAGGCAGAGGGGGAAGAATGTAGATAAATCCCCGCCTCAAGAAAAAAAAAAAAAAAAAAGAAGAAGAAGGAGACAGGAAGAGTTGCTGGAGCCTATCACATAAACCCTGAGGAATGCACACTAAGAAACAGCCTCTGGAAGATTTCTTATGAAATCAAATCCCAAACAGATTTACTAGTCAATTCCTATTGACTAAAACAGCATAAATCTAAGTAAAACCCCTATTAAAAATTCTTTTCTATCTCTGCTTGTTTTCAGAACATTTTCACAACTAACACTTGAATGCTTACTACTTTTCTGGAAACTTAAAGACATCTCAGTTAATTCTAACAACCTCAGACAGGTCTTGTGGTATGGCAGCTGACATTAACTGCCCTGTCTTTTTTGGCCTCACTTTTTCTAATACTATATTCCTTTCTTCCAAAGTGCAGTCATCAGATTGCATTGCCTCAGGGAAGAAGCAACAACAGAATGCAAAAGCCAAATCCCTAAGCTACCCAGTGCCCTATAATTTTTAAGCATGGGAAGGGTGAAATAGGCAAAGCAGGTGAGTTATCATGAGGGCCAGGTAGAGCATGGGGCAAATACACAAACCCCATGTATGTTTCAGGAATCTGAGAGCAGAAGTAAACTGTGCCTCTTTCTTGAGTAGAGCCCAGGATAAGGATGAAAACCCAAGATAAGAAGATCCCAAGATAATGACAAGCGCAAGCATTCCCTCAAAAATGGCTGAGTAGAAATGGCTGCCAAATAAGTCTAAAGAGGCCATAAACAGCCTCATAGAGCAGTATTACGAGTTCTCAAGTGTCCCAGTGTTTCCTGAGTTCCTATTTTAGATGAAAACATCAGACAAGGACTTTCCCCAAGGGACTTACATTCTAGTGATGTGAGAATAGTGGAGAGGGGCTTGGCTATATGGCTGCTCAGCCTATGGTCCTGTTGTAGATGGAGCATCAGGGAGTTGAGAATCTTGTATGTGATTAAAAAATAACTAGCAGGAAAAAGAATACCTGGAATCTAAATTTCTGTACTGTTCTGACACCCCATATTATGATACAGCAAGGTACTAAATTTGTTACTTTGTGTTCTATCTTCAAAACAACAAGTACAAAAGACTTAATGTTTAAATAATAAATAATAACTTGGGAGAGTCACTTCTGCTATCTATCAGAAAAAAGTTCCCCTCCTGTCAAAATTCCAGGTGGAATATGTAATTTAGTAATACAAAATAGCTTTTAATTGAAATAAAAGTTTTTTGTCTCTTTTCATGCAAGTGACATTTCTATCTACAGTTCATGTGTTTAAATTTAGGAAGGCTGGGTGTGATGGCTCATGCTGATAATCCCACCACTTTGGGAGAGCGAAGTGGGAGGATTACTTGAGGTCAGGAGTTCAAGACCAGCCTGGGCAATATAGCTAGACCCCATTTTTACAATAAATAAATTAATTAATGAAATAAAATAAATTTAGGAATTTCCTTAAACTTTAGTGAATATGGTAAGAACTATATTACTCCTTTAAGAGTATTTCAGTCAACAGTAATTTCAAACAGTTTTAGATTAAAATTACAATTTATAAAGTCAGTTTATGATTTGCAACATCAACCCCAACAAAATAATAATAATGAACTTTAGTTTCCAATTAAATAAAGAGGATCAGAGAAATTGTTTCCATTTCTTAACCAAGGATAATTTTTCAATTGGTTAGCAATATCTGTGATGTTATTTTTATTCTAGGAAGGGAAACAGGGTTGATTTGTTATCACTGGTTAAGACTATCTTTTGTGCACTTAACCTTGAGTCCAAATATAATATTCTCATGGAAAATAAAAAGGATTGCCCATGGAATAATCTTCTTCAACATATCTTGGTATTTTAACAATTGGATATATGGTCTGTAGTGCCTTAGCTTAATTGTGTTAATGATAGATATTTCAGAGTATTTTAGTGAAATCCCAGGACAGCAACCCATCCTAAGTATAATAATAAACAATAACATACAGTACATCAATCTTCAACAAAATACACATAAATGTCACCTTTCTTCATCAAATATGACCCAAAAACTACTATGCTTGAAAGCCAACGGGCTTTTGAGATATTTCAATAATCTTCAAGAAATCAATCTTACATGAAACTGAAGGAAAACATCGAATGTCATTGAGCAATAAAGCTCAGTTCTGTCAGTACCTTACCTCTGAGCAGAAGCCTTAGGATGTTTCTCTTCCAGTTTCCTCACCAGTGCTACCGTCAGCTGCCCTATCTCCTCAAGAGAACCTTCTGGCATTAAATGGGTGTCTGAGGGTTCTGGCAGTTGCTTCAGACCAGGGTTGCTGGCACTTTCTTGCAGAACCTAATAAATGAAATATAGGAATAAAGTAGCTAATTTTCATTGAGTGGAAATATCTAAACTGTACATACCAAAAATATAACACTGCAGTTTTCATGGTTCCTTCAGTGTTTCTACAACACATAAGTCCTTTGTACGTGGCCAAAAGAAGGAAATCCTAAGAAAAAGGGGTATCGCCATCTGTTTAATACAATGTATATATAAACATATATGTTTATATAAATATAAATGTGCATATAGATTCCATATTATGTGTATTAGTTTAAACTATCCATAACATTAATTATTATTAATTATTATTAATTTGTGCTTGCCTCCCAAAAACAACTTGAACATTTTTTCTCTTTTCAAAATACATTTTAGAGAGCTATGTCTGTCTTGCCTCTGGCTCACTACACTGACCTCTTCTAAGTTTCTGCCATGTTCCTGATGAGCTGTGGTCCAGGCACCATGGTGAAAGTGATTCTCTGTCTGGGTCACATCTACTTGTGCATTTAGCTCCTCTAGGTAGGTCAGAACAAACTGAGGATAAGCCTGTAAGAAAGGAAAAAAATAACAAGTAGTATCAGCCTTATAAACAGTAGCCAAAAATCCATCCAACTGGAAAGAGGGGAGGATAAACTTGATTAAAAATAAAAAGGTCTGGCTAATAAACTTTGTACTTTATTCTCAACTTCATAACAAAATCAAGTGAAATGACTTTAATATTAACATTTCTAAATAATTGTTTAATCTGATTAAGTTTAGCTAGATAGCTAATTTTTGCCCTTAGATAAGATTAAAACAGTAAAACAATCTTATACATTAATAGTAATAGCTAAATTTATTGAGTTATTCTATATACAAGGTATTATTGTATACACAACACATATATGTAATTGTGTAGTTGCTGTATTGTTTGGAAGTATTCAATTCTGCTCTAGAAGACAAGAAAACAAATTGAATGAATGAAATAGCTGCATTAAGCATATATAAGATAGTAACCTGAGAAATGTCAGACACAAAGTAGAGCAAATGTCTACGAACATAGAAAAGGCTCGAAAGACAAAATAGACATTTAATATTCATGACTCACCAAATAACCAACAAAGCAAAAAATATTTATGATATACTAAATACAAATGAAGCACATGAGGCTCACGATAATCATGAGGTCTTTAATTAGCCATCCATTGCTGGCTCTCATTTGGGATCTTATGAAGGATAAAATCCATCACTGCTCATCAGGCTAACTGGGGAGCACAGCTACTGGTCAAGTGACTCACACACAGCCCTCATGGAACAAGTGTGTGTCATTGGCCCAGGCATCTTTTATTTGTTGGGCTCCCAGGTCAAGTTTTCATTCTGGTTCTTGTAACTACACTAGCAGCAGGAAAGAGTAATGTAGCATAAAGGGGAGATATGTAATTACTGTATACCAGATTCAGGCTAATATGAATCTTGTGTAATATTTTGATTATGTTAATCTGGCCCATCTCTCTTCCTTTACATTTTGTTTTATGTTTTAAATTGATCTAATATGTCATGATGTGAATATTTTAATTTGTTCTGTGCACTTTTGTGTACCATGAGCTCTAGCCTAGCTTACCAAGTAATACACTTGGAGGCTACCCTTGCATGGAAGTAACTTCCTACATAACAACAAATTTGCATTTTAATCCTTGCAACAGCACTTTGCAATGGGTACTATTATTGTGCCCATTTTAAAGATGAGGAAGCAGACACAGGGAATTTAAGCAACATGCTTCAGTACCAAGGGAACCCACTCCCAATATTTCAATGTAGGTTCTTTCTATTTTCCATAAGTGTCGGCTGGCTAAGAAATAAAGAGAAAGAGTACAAAGACAGGAATTCTACAGCTGGGCCACCGGGGGTGACATCACATATCAGTAGGACTGTGATGCCCACCTGAGGCTCAAACCAGCAAGTTTTTTACTAAGGGCTTCAAAAGGGGAGGGGGTGTAAAACAGGGAGTAGGTGCAAAAATCACATGCTTCAAAGGGCAAAAAGCAGAACAAAGATCACATGCTTCTGAGGGAACAGGACAACGGCAAAGCAGAACTACTGATAAGGGTCTATGTCCAGCTGTGCACATATTGTCTTGATAAACATCTTAACCAACAGACAACAGGGTTTGAGAGCAGATAACCGGTTTGACCACAAATTTACCAGGGCAGAGTTTTTCCCTACCCTAATAAGCCTGAGGGTACTGCAGGAGACCAGGGCATATTTTAGTCCTTATCTCAACTGCATAGGACAGACACTCCCACAGCAGCCATTTACACACCTCCCCCAAGGAATGCATTCCTTTCCCAGGGTATTAATATTAATATTCCTTGCTAGGAAAAGAATTTATCGATATCTCTCCTACTTGCACATCCATTTATAGGCTCTCTGCAAGAAGAAAAATATGGCTCTTTTTGCCCAACCCCGCAGGCAGTCAGACCTTATGGTTGTCTTCCCTTGTTCCCTAAAAATCGCTGTTATTCTGTTCTTTATCAAGGTACACTGATTTCATATTGTTCGAACACACGTTTTACAATCAATTTGTACAGTTAACACAATTATCACAGTGGTCCTGAGGTGACGTACATCCTCAGCTTATGAAGAAAACAGGATTAAGAGATTAAAGTAAAGACAGGCATAAGAAATTATAAAAGTATTATTTGGGAGCTGATAAATGTCCATGAAATTTTCACAATTCATGTTCCTCTGCCGTGGCTCCAGCTGGTCCCTCGGTTTGGGGTCTCTGACTTCCCGCAACACATCAGTGTCATCCAGATTGATTAATAGTCTGTCAAGCCTAAATATGTTCCTTCAATTATAATATAAACTCCTTACTGCACTTTTTAAAGTGTGGAGTAATTCTAAAAAACAAAAATCATGAGGAAGTGTTCAGCAGATAAAACGGCACTAAGGTCCTTACATTGTTCTGGAAAAATAGATACTAAATAACTTTAAACTTTGTTAGAAGATGTAATGTAAACATGCATGTTTAAAATGTGAGGCATTCCAAACCCTTAAATGCATATTACTAAGTGCAAGAGTCAATCTGAAAAGGCTACAACTATGGAGACAGTAAAAAGATCAGTGGTTGCCAGTGAGGACTGAATAGGTGGAGCACAGAGGGTTTTTAGGACTGTTAAACTAATCTGTATAATACTATAATGGTGGTTACATGTCATTGTACATTAGTTCAAACCCATAGAATGTGCAGCACCAAAAGTGAGCCCTAATGTAAACTGTAGACTTTGATGATGATGTGTCAGTGTAGGTTCACCAATTATAATAAATGTACCACTCTGGTGCAAGATGAAGATACTAGGGGAGGATGTGCATTTGTGGGGGTAAAGGATATATGGGAACTGTCTTACTTTATGCTTAATTTTGCTGTGAATCTAAAACTGCTCTAAAATATAAAGTCTTATTTTAATGTAAGGGGTTCCAAGAAAAGCACAAGTGGCAAAAGAAAAATAAATTATACTACTAAAAAATTGTGTTACAAACAATGCTGTGAAGAAAGTAAAAAAAAAAAACCTACAGAATGAGACAAAATATTTTCAGATTATATGTCAGATAAGGGATGTATATCTGGAATATATAAAGAACTCTTATACTCACTAATGAAAAGACAAATAATCCAATGAAAATACAAGTAAAGGATCTGAGTAGACATTTCTCCAAAGAAGATAAACAATTTGCTAAAAAAAGATAATCAACATCACTAGTGATCAGAAAAATACAAATCAAAACCTCAATAAGATAATACTTTTTACCCACTAGGATGACAAAGAATAACAAAATCAAAATGACAGAGAATAACAAGAGTTGGCAAGAACGTGAAGGGGAAACAGCTTGGCTAGTCCTCAAAATGTTAAACATGGAGTTTTCATATGGCCCAGCAATTCCACTCCTAGTTATATACCTATGAAAAATGAAAACATACATACACACAAAAACTTCCATACCAATGTTCATAGCAGCATTATTCAAAGTAGCCAAAATAGTGGAAACAAATAAAATGCCATTAACTGATACATGTATTAAAAGTATGATGTTTCTATACAATGGAATATTATTTGGCAACAAAAAGAAATGAACTACTAAAGCATGCTACAATGTGAATTAATTCAGAAAACATTATGCTAAGTGAAAAAAAATCAAACACAGTAGGCCATATATTATATGAGTCCATTTATATGAAATGCCCACAATGGGCAAACCTATAAAGGATGGGGAGGGGGGCAGACAGAGGTAGAGGAATAGATGTGAAGTCCAAGATGTATTTTAGGGAGAACAAAAACATTTTAAAATTAGATTGTGGTGACAGATGCACAACTCTGTGAATATACTGAAAAACATTAAACACCTAAACTTTAAATAGGTGAATTTTCAAGAAATCTATTTTAATGTAAGAAATTTTTCAATTAAAACAGTATATAAAGTATAGCTTTAAACAAGCAAAGAAAAAGGAGAGAAAAGGGATCCAGAAAATGTCAAGAAGAGATTTTTTAATGCAAATTAAAAGCATAATAAACCAAATCTTTGTTGAATTAATCAATGAGTGTATTAACAATGCAATTATTTTTCTTTTTATGTCCTGACATATATTAGTTGTATGTATTTTGGGGGCACATGTGATATTTTGATACCTGTTTATAATGTGTAATGATCAAATCAGTATAATTGGAATATCTATCACCATAAGCATTAAATGTGTAAAAATTTAAATGTGTATTCCCTTTGACTTAACAAATATATACACATTACAAAGATGTCCATTGCAGCATTGCTAATATTTAACTAAATGTACATCACCAGGAAAATTTTAAAAGACAGCATAGATGTGGATGTCAGTATAAAAAGATGGCCATAATACATATCTTATCAAGTGGGAAAAAGTATATCACAAAGTAATATGTATAGTTTTGTCTGGGGGTGGGTATGTGTCTCTAATCAAGAATGATACACTGTCAACAATAATATTGGAGGAATAGTTCAAGAGCTACTTTTGCTTATCATTTTACTCAGTTCTGAATTATTGGAGATGTTTTTCAAAACTAACATGTATCCCTTTTATTATTTAAATGAGAACCATTTTACACATGCAAATATATGTGTAATAATTTTGGGGAATATACAAAAAGCATGCTGTTAGTGAATAACTCTGGGAAATGGGAATAAAGTTTGAGAAGAAGAGACTTTACTTCTCATTAATGTATTTTTTCTAATATTAATTTTTATCACATATTATTTTTATAAAAATTAATACTTAAAAAAGAATTGAAAATAGTTATATTATTGCACATACTATTCAGATAATTTTGGAAAGAGATTTTTGAATCATTAAGCTAATCCAAAACATTAGCAAAAAGAAGTTTAATCCAAAAAAATTAGGATTTACATTGTACCTTTAATCTTATTCATCTTTATTGCATTATGCTACTTTTTGTTTTCTTAAGTCAGTTCTTATTGTCTTAAGTACATTTAAGACAATTCAACTGAAAATAATGTGATGGGTAATGGAGAAGTAG